CTACATGCAATAATCCGGGCAAGCAGTCCCTTTTCTCAGAAATCAGATGTTCCCCTTCCTCCTGCCATCCTGCAGACATCCCAGCCCACTCCATCCACTTAATATCACGAGAGAAGGAATTCTAAATAAATTGAACAACAAATATGCAACCACGATGCATATTAGGTGCCTCCTGTGTGCTGGGTCCTGAGGGCGTCCTCGTGAGTAGCGACAGACGAGGGTCTCTGCCTTCCAGGTTCTTACAGTCTAGGAGGGAAGAGAGACAGAGGGGCCAGTGTTTGGAAACCGACAACTGGGCCTTAGCCACTCCGCAGGAAGTTGCATCTCTTAATAGCAGGGGGACCATGTAACTTATTGCCCAAACTGGGACATTTTTGAGAGGGAAAGTGGGGAATTGTTGATAATTATGCTGGGCCAATAGGTGTAAACAGGGGTCATCCTGGGCAAACCCGGCACATGGTCGCATAGATTAAGAGAAACATTCCCCCTGCCTCTAGCCGCAAAAGGAACTTCTGCTGTCGGTGAAGGCTGTCAGGGATCTGCACCCTGGCCTGCCCTTGGACAAGGGAGAAGACAGAGGGTGCATTCTACAAATGGGGTGGAGATGTGGCAGGAAGGATCAGAGAGCTGGAGCGGGGAGCACAGGCCTGTGTCAGGGAACAGGTGGGAGGTGGGTGGGTGTGGGATATGGCAGCCGCCTGCAGAGTCTGTGACTCTGAGCTTGACTCACACACAGGTGACTTTTGCACGCTCTCCACCTTCCCCAGCTGCCCGTGTCCTGCCTGCCTGCCTGCCTGCTTGAAGGAAAACAGGAAACTTTGGAATCCTGTGGCTCCTGGAGTTTCTTTTGCATTACCTTCTTGTGCAAAGGTGACTTGATTTGTGTGTGTGCATGTGTAAGTGAGAGAGAGAGACCCATTTCCTTCTGTCCTGTCTTGTCTGTCTCTCTCTGACTGTTAATACAAGCCCCACGTCTGGCACCCCCAGAACATGCCCTCTACACAGCAAAACACCGCCCCTCCCAGCTAAGCCTGTTGTTTGTTCCGTTTCTGATCGGCGCCAGGCTCATAGACCCCATGTGGGTAGAATATAACTTTCTATAAATAACCTCCAACCTGACCTACAATTTAGTCTTTGGGTTTTTTTCCCCTCGTGGTAATGGGATTGTAACCTGGGCTGATCCCTCCTGCATCTCTGGGTCCCAGAGAGCAGACCCTAGGTGCACTCAGGTTTGGGCATTGCTTGGTATTCCTAGTTGCCCCATGTTGCCTTGCACGTGGGAAGGACTCCATACACATCGAGGAATGATGGATTGATTCTCCTCCACTCAAGAACAGCCATACATTTGCAGCCTCGGCGCCCTTACTTGGGCCCTACCCTCTGCCTAAAAGTCCTGTGCCCCCTTCTCCACCTGGCAAACCTCTAAGCAGCACCCACTTCTGTGAAACCTTCCATAACCGTGATGCCTTGTGTTCACCGCAGAGTGAGTTATTCCTGTCTTTGGTTCCCATACACTTTGTACAGAACAGTGTGACCTGATTATTTGCCCACGTGCCCACCAGGCTCTGAGCAGCTTAACTGAGTGTCAGGGCCAGGAACCAAGCCCATGTCTGGCTGTGGGCAAAATGTTTAACCCCCTCATGCCTCAGTCTCCTCAGATTTAAACACAAACCTGACTCCAGAGCCTGTGTCCCCACCTGCTGTACCCCACTGTCTCTTGGAGCTGAACGATGTCTCCGTTTCCTACCTGCTCTCATGTTCTGGGCTCTGGGACCCTCCTCGTGATGCATGGATTCCCTGCAGGGTCTCCCTAAGGCTTCTTTGGGGCCTGGAACTACAGGGGGGACCAGCCAACAACACCCACTGGCACCTACCAAAGACTTGTTAATAAGGATCATGCATTTGATTAGGGTTCATTGGGAGTTAAACTGAAAAGTCATCAGGAAGGACCTCAGGGGGACCAGCCAACAACACCCACTGGCACCTACCAAAGACTTGTTAATAACGATCATGCATTTGATTAGGGTTCATTGGGAGTTAAACTGAAAAGTCATCAGGAAGGACCTCAGCTTACTTTGGGGTACGGGGTTCCCCCAAGATAGGCTGGACTTCATTTAAAGCTTTGTGGTTGCTCATCCCTCCTTACGGCAGCTGAATCGCGTTTACTGAGTCCCGGCTAGCATTCAGCCTGTTAGGCACACTGGAGAGGCAGAACTTTGAGAGAAGTGCAAGAGGTTGTCCCTGCTTTTGAAGATCTTACATTCTCA